AAGAGTGAAAGAAAAAAAAAAAAAAAAAAAAAAAAAGAACAAATTTCTGGCCAGGCATGGTGGCTCACACCTGTAATCCCAGCACTTTGGGAGGCCAAGATGGGTGGATCACATGAGGTCAGGAATTCAACACCAGCCTGGCCAAAATAGTGAAACCCCATCTCTACTAAAAATACAAAAATTAGCTTGGAGTGCTGATGGGCACCTATAATCACAGCTACTCGGAACACTGACGCAGAATTACTTGAACCCTGGAGGCAGAGGTTGCAGTGAGCAACTTTGGGCTATTGTACTCCAGCCTGGGCAACAAAGAGAGACTCCATCTCAAAAAAAAAAGAAAGGACACATTCCATTAATAATCATACATTGTATCCAACACACAAAAAAAAACCACTACCGTATTTTCCTTTTAATAGACTAGAATTTAAATGTCATAAGATCAGGGACTTTGTCTATTTGCATGACTGCTAAATCCACAGTGCTATCATATAATAGGCACTCAATCAATATTCACTAAGTGGATATGTTAAATGTTTCAACTCCTGAGAAAACTATTAGGCGCTGAGAAGACAGTAAGCCAATGACCACAAGCAGCCCACTTGATCTAGCAGTGCCACAAAGTGGGTGCTTTCTGATCCACAGCATTTTCACCTGAAGCACCCCCAGCAATCCGGCAGAAACAACGCATCTGAAACTGAACCCAAGGGCACTTAAAGGCACAGGTGGAAAAAGCAGGGGACTTCCACCTTCAGCCTGCGTACTCTGTCATACTACCTCTCCCCTTTCAACCTTCACCCACAGGCCTGTGGGGAGCTCCAGATGACACGAGCTGAGGCTAGAAAAAAACCCATACCTACTAGGGGGAGGGAATAATACCGCATGCTCTCTTCTAAGTGGGAGCTAAATGACAAGAACACATGGACACAGAGTGGGGAACAACACACACCCCGGCCTCCCTGAGGGTGGTAGATGGGAGGAGAGAGAGGGTCAGAAAAAATAACTAATTGGGTACTGGGTTTAGTACCTGGTTTAATAATCTGTATAAAAAATCCCTGTGACATGAGTTTACCTGTATAACAAACTGCACATGTACCTCTGGACTTAAAAGTTAGAAAAATATAATAATTTTTTAAAGTTGATTACATGTTGAAATGATAATATTGAATTACTTGCAAGCCTTAATAACTAAGACTACCTTCTGGTATAAGGATAGATAATAGACAAACAGAGCAAAACAGAGAAACAGGCTTCTATCTACACAGCAATCTGATATATGACAGATGGCGTTACAGATCAGTGTGGAAAAGATTGATCAATTAATACATTTTTTTTTTTTTTTTTTTTGAGACAGAATCTCACTCTGTTGCCAGGCACTAGGCTGGAGTGCAGTGGCACAATCTCGGCTCACTGCAACCTCCGCCTCCCCGGTTCAAGCAATTCTCCTGCCTCAGCCTCCCGAGCAGCTGGGACTGCAGGCGCACGCCACCGTGCCCAGCTAGTTTTTGTATTTTTAGTAGAGACAGGGTTTCACCATGTTGGCCAGGATAGTCTCGATCTCTTGACCTCGTGATCCGCCCGCCTCGGCCTCCCAAAGTGCTGGGATTACAGGCTTGAGCCACCGCGCCCGGCCCCAATTAATACATTATATGGGGACAACAGCATATCCGTTTGGTGTACATTTAGATGTGCACCTCATACTTAACTACAAATTAATCCTAGGGAACCTAGGTCCACAGCTATGAAAAAAACACTTTCAAACTCTTAGAAAGACACGTGTGAAACATGAAGACATTACGCCAAGAGAAAGAAGCCAATCACAAAAGGAGAAATACTGTATGATTCCACTCCTACGTGGTACCTGTAGTCAAATTCATCGAGACAGAAAGTAGAATGGTGGTTGCCAGAGGCCTGGGTTTTGGAGGAAATGGGGAGCTATTGCTCACTGGGTATAGAGTTTCAGTTGGGGATGATGAAAACTCTAGAGGTGAATGGTGAGGATGGTTGCGCAACAAACTGAATGTACTTAATGCTACTGAAGTGTCCGCTTTAACATGGTTAAAATGATAAATTCTATATGTTTTGTGTATTTTACCAAAAGTTTTTTTCAAAAACTTAGAAAACAATGTTACACTCCTTAATGGCACACTGTTATGCAGACAGCACCTCCCACTGATAACGAAACATACTTAATAGGCATTAAAAATATTCTTTAAAACATAAAATCACTCACCGGTAAAATCACAGGCCAAAATCTAAGCAAAAGTGGGAATTCAGAGCCCACTGCAAGAAAAGACGTTCTGGTGCTTAGAGGCTTAAGAGGGCAAATAAGAGCACATTCCGAAGAAATTGTAACCAAAACCTGAGCCTCACCTGGGTATTCTGGCCAAATGCACGTCAGCTGATGATTTCCAAAGCCTGCAGCTACAGTGTTAAAGTGGCCCTGGGTTAGCCCTGGACCCTCTAAGCACCTGGCAGAAATAAGTATAAATACTTTTTGAAGGGATTCACCTTCATCTGAGTCCTCACAACATCCCCACAAATAATTTTCTAGGGACAATGAACAGCTTACAGTTAAAAACAAAACAACAAAACAAAAAGCAACCGTGCAAGAAACAAATCACCATGAGGAGGAACCAGCAGAAACACCGCAGAAAAGGACTCACAGAGATTATTAACAAAAGGAACAGACTAGACAGTCCCAGATGCAAAAAGAAAGTAGCAAATATATTAGTAACATATAGGTGAATGTTGACTGCATAAAATAAAAACAATTATTTATGGTGTAAAATTTGAAAAGACAGAATTAAAATACACTGCAATAATAATACAGATCAGGAGAAAGTTAAAAGGAGTTAAAGTGTTCTAAGGTTCTTATACCAAAAGTAAAAGTTTTGCTTAGCTACAGGCTTTGATAAGTTAACGTGCATGTTGAAATTTCTTGTAACCACTAAAAACGGAAACAGTGTGCTTATAAGGTCCAAAGGAGAAAATATGTAATGATTATTCCAGAAACCTCAATCAATTCAAAAGAATTCAATAAAGAAGGGAAAAAGAAATTGAACAAATAGAAACATTTTATCAAATATTCAAGAAATAATTAATTCCAAATTGATTCAATGGATAGTATAACATGTTAGGGCAACACTGACAAGAAAAAGGGAAAAGATAATTATACACCAATCTCATTCACAAACATAGATGTAAAAATCATAAGCAAAATAATAGCAAATCAAGCAATGCATAAAAAAAGGAAAATATAACGTAACCAAGTTGGATTTATTTTAGAAGCACAGGTTGTTTTCACATTTTTTTTTAAATGTAATTCACTACATTAACAGATTGAAGTGAAAAAATCATACAAGTATCTCAGTAAATACAGAAAAAAGCATTTGATAAAATTCAACATCTGTTTATGACTTCAAAAAACCTTAGCTAACAAGAAATAGATGTTTTTTGAGATAGGATCTTTCTCTGTAACCCAGGATAGAACATAGGGGCATACTCTTGGCTCTGCAGCCTCAATCTCCCAGGCTCAAGCAATCCTCCCGCCTCAATCTCCTAAGTAGCTGAGCCTACAGAAGCAGGCCACTACACCTGGCTAATTTTTATTTTTATTTTTATTTATTTTTTATTTTTTCTTTTTGTAGAGACAGTTTTGCCATATTGCCTAGGCTGGTCTTGAACTCCTGAGCTCAAGCAATCCACCTGCCTCAGCTTCCCAAAGTGCTGGGATTACAGGCGTGAGCTGTCATGCCCGGCCTGAAATAAATAGACTCTTAACCAATGAAATAAGGCAAAGAAAAAAAAATATGTAAGGATTAGAAATAAAGAAACAAAGCTATCTTTATTTTTAAATGATATTTATAATAAAAAAATACACTATCAACAAGGTTACTAGATAGAAAAATAGATATACAAAATTATTTTTTTCTTTATAGTGGCAATTAGTAGGTAGAACATAAAATTTTAGAATTATAAATTTGTAAATGGCATAAAAGCATGAAGATGTGGAAAGAAATCTAACACTAATTGTGTAAGACATACATGGAGAGATCAAATAAGACCTAAATAAACATACAGGGGCTGGAAGCTTCCTCACTGTAAAGATGCCGAGCTCCACTACTAACCATGAAGTAACTGGTACAGAGTGTCCTCTCCTATGGTGAACAACAAGAAAACTGGACAAAAGATATGAAACAACTGTTTTCACACACTGTGACAACAGGTAGGGAAAGTCAACTTTAAGAGAAGGCAGATAATTAAGCCAAACCTTACAATTGCCCCAGCTTCCTATCTAGGGACAATTTTGAGCTTACAGGACAGGGAAGGAAAACCTAAGCAAAGCGCAATGGTCTCACTAAATTAAGGAGATAGAGACTCGATCTTTGGGAGGTGAGGGAGCTGGAATCCGTAGGGTAAAGTACCAGAGAGGAGGAAGCTATACAGAGAAGGAGCTCCCAAAATCGACACAGGGGTCTTCTTAGGTCTCTGGCTGAATAACTACTCTGTATACTGATAGAGTGAAACTTCACACACTGGGCAAAGAACAATTTCTGGAGACTAGAAACTGAACAATTCTCAAAGGACAGAGGGAAGAAGGGCTCAAATCCTACTCAGCCAGAAAGACCTCATTGAGCCACAGGGCAATCAATAGAAGCCCCTGAAGGATCAGGACTTAAAATCTAAACTAGCCATACAGTGAAGGCTATTCTAGACACTCTAACAAAGCTTAAAGATAGTCCCCCAGCTGGCTCTGTGGCTTATGCCTGTAATCCCAGTGTTTTGGGAGGCTGAGGTGGGAGCATGCTTTGAGGCCAGGAGTTCAAGATCAGCCTGGCAACAGAGCCAGGTCCTCCCTCTACAAAAAATAAAAAGTAAAAGTCAGCCAGGGGTGATGGCATGCGCCTATTGTCCCAGTTACTTGGGAGGTTGATGTGGGAGGATCACTTGAGCCCAGTAGTTCGTGATCCTTCCGCTGTACTCTGTTGATCACGCCACTGCACTCCAGCCTGGGTGACAGAGTGAGACTCGGTCTCAACAACAACAACAAAAAAGGAAGTAAAAAACCCAGCAAACTGTGAACCAGAGAGCTATATCTATGTAGACACAGTTTAATATTAATATTATAATACACAGCGTTCAAATATGTAAACATTATGAACTATGATCCTTGCACTGCACTCCAGTCTGGGTGACAGAGCAAGAACGTGTCTCAAAAAAAAAAAAAAAAAAAAAAATCCTCCAAACTGTCAAGTTGATCGTCAAGTAACCTAACTGTAATGCTAACTTGTGGGCCAATATAAACTTCAAAACTCTGAAAAAAGACAACAAAATTTAAATACTTGACCACATAACATTTAATGTCTGATATCCAATAAGAAATTATCAGACATAGAAAAAAAAGCAGCAGGGCTGGGCACGGTGGATCACGCCTGTAATCCCAGCACTTTGGGAGGCTGAGGCGGGTGGATCATGAGGTCAGAAGTTTGAGACCAGCCTGGGCAACATAGTGAAACCCCGTCTCTACTAAAAGTACAAAAAAATTGGCTGGGTATCATGGTGCATGCCTGTAATCCCAGCTACTTGGGAGGCTGAGGCAGGAGAATCACTTGAACCCAGGAGGCAGAGGCTGCAGTGAGCAGAGGTCTAGTTACTGCACTCCCGCCCAGGCAACAGTGCAAGACTCCATCTCAAAAAGAAAGAAAGAAAGAAAGAAAAAGTGCAGCAGACTGGGCACGGTGGCTCACGCCTGTAATCCCAGCACTTTGGGAGGCTGAGGTGGGGGGATCACAAAGTCAGGAGTTCGAGACTTGCCTGGCCAATATAGTGAAAGCCCGTCTCTACTAAAAATACAAAAATTAGCTGGGCATGGTGGTGGGTGCCTATAATCCCAGGTACTCGGGAGGCTAAGGCAGGAGAATCACTTGAATCCAGGAGGTGGAGGTTGCAGTGAGCTGAGATGGTGCTACTGTATTCTAGCCTGGGTAACAGAGCAAGATTCCATCTCAAAAAAGAAAGGAAAAAAAGTAATAAATTGTGAACCAGAAAACTATATCTATGTAGACACAGTTTAATATTAACATTATAATATACTTTCTTCAAATATATAAACATTGTGTGTGTACATATAGTATATGTTATATATATACACTCACATTCATATTTTTGTTCCAGTGCTTTTCCCTTGGCTTAACTTCAATGCTAACGCCCCAAGAAAGAAATGATATTGGTTCAGAGTGTTACAGAAATAAAGACAGAGCAAAGTAGGTGGCTCCAAAATATATTTCGTGCTGGATTGGGGAAAAGGAACATCTCCGTGCATTGTAAATTTCTCTCCACCTTTTTTTTTTCTAATGAGAAATCTCACACAGGGAAGACAAGTTTTAGTTTAAAAGTCTCACTAGTACTATATAGCAGTCTCATCCAAATGCTGGTGAAACTTCTGAACATGACCATACTACAAGAGCATTTCTTCTCCCCACACAAGTATTACAAAGTCTTCTGCTATGAACATCTATTGGGATTGTCATTCCCAATCACCCTTCCTAGCTCCTGGGATATTCCCTCCCATCTACAGTGGGAAGTATGAAATTACTAATAAGCAGAACAGTGGTTCTCAGATGTGGTCCCTGAGACTGGCAGCATCAGCGTCATCTGGGAATTTATTAGAATTATAAATTATTGAACTCCACCCCACACTTACTGAATCAGAAACTATAGGAGTAGATTCTAGGAGTTTGTGTTTTAACAAGTCCTTCAGGTTAGTCAAAAGCTTGTTCAAATTTAAGAGCTACCAAATTAGAAAATATTTAGTGTACTAGTGGACATTAATGTCATGGACCCAGGATCTATCTGAGAGAATTTTTCAGGAAGATACGAAAAAGAATATAGAACAACTGCAACCAAACAAATAGAACACCCGGGTCAGGCAAAAATAGGCCCTCTGAGCCTCTTTGAGGATGGGCATGGGCAGCTTTCACTATTACAATATGCCCTTTCTTTTCTGTCTTTCTTTTTTACCATTTGAGACATGGAGATAAGCATGGTCTTCTTTGCATTACTGCTACTACTATGGCAATAAGCATAAAGGAAAGTAGAAAAGAAAAAGGAAGACCTATCTTCTTTCTTTTTAGAAAAATTGTTTAATAATTTCCAGCGGATGGGAACTATCATTCTCAGCAAAGTAACACAAGAACACAAAACCAAACACGGCATGTTCTCACCCATAAGTGGGAATTGAACAATGAGAACACATGGACATAGAGGAGGGGAAACATCACAAACCGGGGCCTGGCGGGGGGTGAGGGGCTAGGGGAGGGATAGCAGCAGGAGAAATACCTAATGTAGATGACGGGGTGATGGATACAGCAAACCACCATGGCATGTGTATAACTGTGTAACGAACCTGCACTTTCTGCACTTGTACCCCAGAACTTAAAGTATAATAATAAATAAGTAATTTCCAGTT